CCTCACTCTAAAAGTGTTAACCCTAACTTAAACCTAAACCCTAACTTAAAGCTAAACCCTAACTTCAACCTAAACCCTCACTCTAAAAGTGTTAAGCCTCAAACAGTCCATTGAAGAAGTGAGGACCAGACAAAATGTCCTCACAAAGGTATTGAAGTGTCCATAACTACTCACACAATGTGACAGCTTCTCTCTCGTCCTCTCAATACTAACATGAGGGAGGAGGGAGGAGGGGGAGGAGGAGGGGGAGGAGGGGGAGGAGACGGTTGAGATTTCAGGGAGGTGGAGCAGGGGGTGTGGCTGAAGGAGCCTCTCCCTCCTGAGCTCAACTGAAAGGAAAGTCCAGCTCACTTCATCCTGAGAGTCTGAGAGCAGCGTCTTGTCTTCATCCTCTTCATCTCTTCATCGTCCTCCTCCCTCTCAGCTCTCCCCTCATGGCGGCCCCCTCCAAGTCGTCCCAGAAGGCCAAGAATGTGGCCATCGCCCTGCTGGCATTGTGGTCCATCGTCTCTCTCATTGTAATCGTGGTTTGGGCAACGTCTCCGGACCTGAAGAGCTCGGCGCAGTGTCGGGCCGAGCTACAGGACATCAGGGAGAAGCTGGAGGGCGCTAAGGTGGTGTGGGGGAAGGACCGGGTGGCGCTGGAGGAGAAGGTGGAGAAGGAGAGGGAGGAGCAGGTTCGCCTAACGGCCAACAACGTGCTGCTGCTGGGACGCCTGAACGCCACCAACACCTCGCTGGAGGAGTGTCGGCAGGAGAACGTGAGTCAAACACACACTGTAAAAAAACTCACACGTTTTAGCATGTTTGAGTCGGATTCACTTTTATACTAAAGTGAGAAAAATAAATCAGATGTGAATCATGTTTGTTTTACTGTGTCGGGGTCAAAGGTCACTGAGGACGTGTTCTCTAAAACTCATCACTGTTGCCATGGTTACGGCTGCTGGTCTCATTTCCCTTCGAGATTCATTTGTCAGGTGTCTTCTCTGACTTTTAATTTGTTCTGCACTTTAACACAATGATTGAAAGTTTTTGATTTATTTGAGGAGAAACATCAGTTAGATTTTTGTTTTGCGAGTTCGAGTTTCACAACATGAAGACGATCCTGTGATGTGACTCATTCAGAGCAGATCAAAGAGACGAGAGGAGGAGCTTCCGTCTGTGACGACAAACCAGATGGAAGAAAGAGACATTTCTGTGGTTTCAGTAAATCTACAATATTCATGTCTCAGAAACAGTCGATAGAAATTACTTCACAGGGAAAGGTTTTACTTTTACTCCAGTAAAGAGGCGGAATCAGTACTTTTACTTCAACACAAGTATCTGTACTTCAACTGGAGTGAAGGATGTGTGAAGTTTTACCTACTCTGTTTTTTACAGTGTAACATTAAACTGAAAATAGAGTAGCCCCGCCCTCCTCGGCCTCATGTGACAGAAACATAACAGAAACAGAGAGTTTGCTCGTCAGGATCTGGATCAGTTCACTTTCTATTCTCGTGAACTCGTTTGAACTCCTCCCTCGTTCTTCTCTCTGCAGCAGTTTAGTTTCCAGCTTCATATTCTCAGACTTGTTGGTTGGAAAAAGTGAGTGTTTGCTCTCCCTCCTCCTCGGGCCCCACCCCTCTTTCCTTCCCTCCCTCACTCCTTATTTTTTCCTCCCTCTCTGGCGTTTCCTCCTCCTCCTCAGGAGGGAAACTCTCACATCATGCCTGTGGATTGTGGACCAACGTTACTTTTATTTATAGAAGCAGAAAGTGTGTGAATGTTGGAGACGATTCTTTTTGCAGATTACACAGACGAACGTTAAATACCCAGAATTCCCTGTGTGAGAGCAGGTCATCTGGTGTGACACTGAAAAGTCTTAAAAAGAATCAGGTAGTTAAAGGAAACATGAACAATCTATTAAAGTTCCCCAAACAAATCCAGGTGAGGAGAGAGGCCGACATTGTGCAACGGAAGGTGTCGACCAATCACAATAGAGTGAATCAATCGGCCAATCAAGAGGAGGGTCTTAAAGAGACAGGAGTTAAAACCAAGAGTTTGAGACAGAGGCTGAAAAGAGGAGCTGCAGCGATGGACAGTCGTTTTATCAACCTGCAGACGTCTCAGGTGCCTGATCTCATTCTTGACTTTGTCCTAATATCAGAGACAGAGTCACAGGTCTGCAGTCTGTATGTCTGCAAGGATTCTAAAACTTTATGGATGTTGTGATGTGGCATGATTTCTCCTGGCGCTGCTGATGGAGCAAAAAGAGGAGTCGTACACGTAGAAGACGAAGACGTCCACTTGGAAAGACGAGGAGGTTCCAGATGTTTTGGTGATGAGGGCCGACGCCKTGTGGACGAGCTGTAAACAACAACACTGATCTTTACACAGTTTAGACGCCATGTCCYGCCTCCTGCTGCTCTACAGGCTCCACCCCTCGTTACCCACATGCTCCTGTTGTTGTGAACGAGTCGGACGTTCGGCTGAGTTCATGTCTGAACTGGAGCTTTACTGAGCGTCCAGAGGAGCTGCATCACTTTGTGTCGCAGGAAGACAACGGATGGGTCTCACCTACAGGGACAGATGCAAAGAGCAGCCCAGTGTATTGTGGGAGTCTCCACCTGGAGGTCACCTGACCTCACGTTACCCTGCTGCATGCTGGGAAGATCCCTCAGCTTTTAAAACGTGTTGTAGAAGCTACAACGGAGTGGTCTCCGTGGTGACGACACACCTCGGCTGTGAAACTTCTGAAGCACGTGTGATATTTACAGCTGATGTGTGACACACGTTACTTTAACATTTTCACTTTAACTTGAGAAAGCTCCTCAGATTCAAACTCATCTCATTTATTTTGTCCTAAATAAATTTTGCTTCTGGAGAGAATTCAAAATGTAAACACTACCTGACTGAAAGTATGTGGACTCGTCACTGAGGTCCAGCTGTGATGTTATTGGACAGAGACACTGAGGACAGAATTCCCTCCTCTGTTCATCCATCTCTCATCGTGTCCCTCAGTTTGAACATGTTAACAACAGACATGTTAAAACTTGCATGCTCCTGTGCTCACACTGCCCCTAGAGGACGTTTAGATTCAACGTGTTTCTCTGCAGATTTTGCAGATGAATTTTATGGACGAGTCGACGAATGAGACGGAGCATCAACAAACTTTGTCTGGTCCAGAACTTTTAGAAACATCTGAAGAAGCTGTTGATCGTTTTATTGAAGATGTTCAGAATAATCTTATCGATCTTCAGGAAACTGCAAAAAATAAACAGATCCACCAAACTGCTCAGATTCTTCATGTTTTAAAGTTTCTGCTGAACATTGGAGATAAACTCTGGCTGTTAAGAACTGATCTCAGTTCAGCTTCACTCTTCCACTGGAGCTGATGGAGACTCTCAGTCACTTGTTCTCTGAGGAGATGAACCCACTCAGCAGAGAGAGAGAACAGACGCTCAGGGAGCGAAGGAGGAAACGTTCTCCACCTTCACTCATCAGACTCACTTTAATCAAGCTGAGGGTTAAGGTAGAAAAGTGTAAAAGGATTTCATCAGTCTGCTTTTTAGTTCGTCATCAACTTCTCATGGTCAGAGACACATCACCAGAGTGTCCTCAGGATCTTTCAGCACTTCACATCATGAAGTGATAAACTGTAGGTCAGTATTATTATTACCACAGTAGAAGTACACAGTGAACTGTACGTCAGTATCATTATTACACTAGATGTACACTGTGTACTGTATGTCAGATATTTGTTGGGCCTGTCCCTTTAAGAACTGATGATCTCACCACAGGAATGTTTCTAGAAGTCGATCTGGAGTCGTCCTGTTTTCAATCACCAGCTCGACCCTGACAGCTGACGCCAGGCGTCACAGCTCAGCTGAGGGTCAGTCCGCGCAGGGCACAGGATGAAGAGGGAACTCACCTGAGCAGGTGAACGCTTGGTTGTAGTTCCTTCTCTTTAAGGCCCAGTCTGCTCTGATTGGTCAGATCGGCCTCTGCTCTTGTAAGGGGGCGTGTCACACGAGGCTGGCCTCATGATGTCATGTGACGTCACGATGATGCAATGAGACAACGGAAGATCATTGATATTGATTCTCATTGACAGATTTTTCTATCAGACTGAAAACAGATGATGATTAATGACTCTGTGCTTGTGTGCGTTTGATTCGTGCTGCAGGTCGTCCTGAACGCGAACATCAGCTTCCTGCTGGAGGAGGTGGAGCGACTGCTTCAGACCGAGACCAACCTCACGACTCAGCTCGGCCTGAAGGAAGGTAACGAGTGGAAAACCTCCATCGCTGCCATGAAAGGAGACTTTCTCCACAACCGCATTCTTAACTTCTGCACCCCCCATCCCCTCCTCCCGTTACCATGACGACTGTGAGTCATAGTAAATAAACACACACGATTGGACGGATTCAAAAAAAGTACAAACAGCAGTGTTGTTCTGTTTGAGAGAGAAAAGAGTCTCATGTCAAAAATCAAAAACCACAAATTAAAAGTTTAAATAAAAACCTCAGTTTCCACATGTGATGAATGAAAGAAGGAAGAAAGGAGCGAAAGATTTACCAGTAAAAAGAGGGGGAAGAGGAAGAGAAAGAAAAAAAGCAAATGAAAAAAATATGAGGGAAAAAGATGAAAAAACAGGAAGATAAAGAAGGGATGACAGAAGAAACATACAAGGAAGTAGAGAAATAAAAAAGAAGAATTGACAGTTAAATTAAAAAGCGATAATAAAGAAAATAACAAAAAATAATAAAGGAAAAAGACAAAAAAGTGAAAAAGTAGAAATTTTTGAAAGAAGAGAAAAACTGAACTGAAAGATGAAAAGGAAAATAATGAATGGAAAAAAGAAAATGGAAAAATTCAAGTAATGATGGAAAAATAAAAAGTAAGACATTTTTAAGAAAATGAATTTTGAAAAAGCTGAAAAGGAAAAACTAATGACACAAAAATATAATAAAACGTTTTCAAAGAAAATACGACAGAAAGAAATTAAATAAGAAACAGGAAGAAAAATAAGTTACAGAAAAATAAAAGGAGGAATGAAAGAGAAGGGAGGTGAAGATTTATCAAAAGAGAAGAGGAAATGGAGAAACATTAAAAAACAAAGGAAAGGGGGGATGATGGAGGGAAAGGGAACAGAATTAACAATGGAAGAGAGGGATGAAATAACAATAGAGGTGAAGAAAGAAGCTGGAAAGAAAGACAAGAGACTGGAGGAGAAACAGGAAGAAAGAAATAAAAAGAAAGACGGAAGAAAAATGTAGAAGTTGAAAATAAAGTAAATTTTCTTACAAATGAAAGTTAAAATGTATTTGAAAATGTTTTCAGTTTCCTCTGACCACATGACCTCTGACCTGTGTCTCCATGGTAACTCAGTCCAGAGGGTTTCCCTATGAAGATGTCTCAGAGCTACGCTAACGCTAGCTGCTCTGAGTTCCTGTGAACTCCACACAAACTAAACTGTCATTAAGGATCAGAGCGTTTCTTTAAACACTGAGAGAAAAATTCATCCTTTTTTTCCATTGGATTCTTTCAGGGAAGGAAATGAGCTGTTGTGTGTATTTAGTTTTTACAGTGTTCGATGAATTAAAGGTATTTTCCCTTTTGATAAAATCGTCAGCAGCAGCACAAACAGTGGCCGATGGGAAGCGGACAGACGCTTTACTGAAGGTGACTTCCTGCTGTGAACAGCTGGAGGGAAACGATTGGATCCTGTTTGAAGCAGATATGAGAGTTTAGTGTGAACTCGTCTGTCTGCAAACAAGAGGAAATATTCAGCAGAGATTAAATGTAACGACAGGTTTAAGACCTGAGGAGACCCGTAAGAAGCTAACACGGAGGCACAGTTTGAAAACCGTAGAGTTTTCAAGACACCGCTCTCTTTTAATTAAAACAGAGTCAAATTGTAAAATCAGTTTGATTTGAGACGTGAAGCATCAGAGAAACTGTTCTGTTGGTCTTCGTTGTTTTACGCAGTGAAGTGACTCGTGGTTGTAGAGACGATCAACAGGATGTGGGTTTGAAGTTAAATCGTTCTCAGAAGATGAAGCTCAGTTCTTGGATTCTGCTTCTGATGTCGAATGTTTAGCCTTTTGTTGAATCTGATCCAGAATCAGCTCATGAAGCAGCTGAGGAGGAGAAAAGGTTGATGCTGGCAGCTGAGTTCATTCCTCACATATCTCACTGATAACACTGAGTTTCCTTATAAGTTAAAGCAGCTGTTCTCAGACAGGGCGTCCCTGCAGAACAAGGTGTGACCCCCCCCCCCGTCCTTTGTTACTGTTGCTATGTCAGGATGTCAACAGTGGACATTAGCCACTTCGACTGGAGGGTCACTTCTTCACTGTGAAAAGAATCTGAAGGTCACTTACGTCTCGGCTGCATGGTCGTCATCTGCAGCTGTTTTCTCAGGTGTCTTTAATTTAGTGATGAATCGAATCTCAGAGGAAGAAACGTCCTGCAGCGAAAAAGACCTTTTTAAAATCAGGATTCTCAGTTCAACAGTTCAGAGCCTGAAAATCCAATCTGAAATTAAAGTACCTGGGTCCCGATGTTCAGTACCTGTAACCCGTAGCTGGGTCCAGATGTTCAGTACCTGTAACCCGTAGCTGGGTCCAGATGTTCAGTACCTGTAACCTGTAGCTGGGTCCAGATGTTCAGTA